CCCCTCTGTGCAGGTTGTCCCCCAGGACCATGCTGAATGTGCTGCTGCTGTGCTGTGGGCTGCTGCAGGGGATCCAGGCCATCCTCACCGCTGACCTCAGCTGTGGCCACCTGCAGAAGGTGAGCGGTGGGCTGGAGGGTGCAGACAGAGCCCGCTACTCCAGCCTGCTACGGAAAATCAAGGAGGTGTCTGCGGACCCAGCGGGTGAGTCCTGTGCTTCCCCCCCAGCTCTCCCACTGCCCCTCATCAGCTGCTTGCTGCCATGCCCAGGGCCCCAAAAATGAAGTGGGGACCCCAGGCCCGGACGCAGGGGATCCCCTTCAAGCAATGTGGCTTCTCCGATCTAGTGAGAGCAGCCTGGCGGCCCACAGGGAGTGAGCGGCTTATTTTTGTGGGGACACATGACCACGGGGAGCAGAATCAGAGCTGACCCCCTACCCAGCAGCCTCCTTGTCCAGCCTCTCTGTATCTCACAGGAGCTCTCCCCAGGCTGGGGTTTGAGCAGATGGCCCCGGAGGTCCAAAAAGACGACGGTGACCTCGTGTGGAGAGGCAGTGTGCCAGAACCGCAGGTAACACTCCCCAAGCTTTCTTACAGACACCCCAAAGAGCGGGAGCAGCCTTCTCTGTGCCCTTAGGGACAGAGGTGGTTTGGAGCCCAACGTGGTGCTGCCTGGGAAGGGAGTATCTGTTTGTTGCCCGCTGGGGGGCAGCCGGGGCTGGGATGAGCTGAGGCTGCCCAGAGCTGCAAGGGGCTCCGGCACTCAAAGGAGGGTGGTCAAAGCTTGCACCTCTGCAATCCGTTTAATTAACCTCAAGTGCAGCCCAGGAAGCCTCAGCAGAGCAGGTGCTCACCAGGCAGTGCCGCGTCTTGGACCCCGGTGCCTCTGTTCAGGCAGAAAGGCACAGCACCCTTCACTAAAGTTGGGGCTGTGCTTCAAAAGAAAAGTGTGCATAAAGGCCTCAGGACCTGGTGGATGAGGCAGTGATGCCTGCAGAGGGCTCAGCAGTGATTTCCGAGCCTGGAGTTGAGCATGACAGAGCTCTCCGCTGCCAACAGTGGCAGGGTTCAGCACCCCACCTTT